ATGTAGTTCCTCTATGGAAGTGAGCTTTACATTTTGATCACATTTAAAAAGGATATTCTGAACCAGCCCATATTAATTATATATTAATATAAGAGACTGGAGAGATGTTCAGTGATTAAGAGAATATACTACTCTTTCAAAGAACCCACATTCAGCTCCCAGTACCCATATCAGGAGTTTCACAACTTCACAACCTGCTGATAACTCCAGCTCCAGAGGATCCAACACTCTTCTGACCTCTGTGGGCATTGTACTCACATGTACATGCACACACACACACACACACACACACACACACAAATAAAAATAAATCCTTAATATGGTATCCTTTATAAATTATATATGTATACATAGACTACTCTATCAAATAAATATGTCCCACAAAGCTGATAAAACTTGGTTACGTATTTTAGGGATGTAATGGTTAAATTGTTCTTTACAGTACTTAGACGTACATTAGTATTTCTCATTCTATAAACTGGACAACATATCTAAGTCTTCATTTATATATTTGGTAGGGAAAAATCAACTGATCTTATTTGGAGCAACAACCTAATTATTCTTAGGGTGGTACAAGAATTTCAGAGTGTTCTGTAGCCTGGAGCATTTAAGGAAACCATCTCCAATCATCTGCTTCTACTGTCATCTCCTGTATACTCCTAGGAATGCAGGCAGCTCAACTTTTTTCTCCAGAGGCTTAGACAAGTGCACTTGCCAAGGCTAGAAGCCTTGGGACTTAGAGCCCAGGCTTATTAGGGGTCCCACTCTCCACTGCATTCCAACAGGTGCTGACCACTGTCGCTCCAGAGCCATGCAGGTCTCTTCCATCTGAGAGAAATGCCTTAAAACTGTCTGTTCTTATTGAGCTGGTCAACATCTTTCTCTATTCTTGCATCCTTTCCCTGCCCAAGGCTCTTGGATGTAAAGATGTTGACAGGCTTTCCTCCTCCCACCACAGTGCCTTTGGTCCTTCACTGCTTGAACTCTAAAGCTTCCCATGCAAGGGCCACAAAAGCCTGTGGCTGCCTCCTAGAGGAAGGAATCTGTACCTATCTCAGTGCTTAGTTAATTGATATCTCCAAATATCAATAGACTAGGTAATAGCTACGAAGTCCTTAGAACAGTACCTAGCATGTATTAATACTGTTAGGTAAATTCTTTTTAAGAGTGTTCTCATGAATGGGTGAACAGGACAACTGTAGATAACTTTATGCCTTTACACCCTAGGAATTTTTTGCATGCATCTTAATTCCTTTTAAAAAGGAACATAACATTGGGTGCAAGTTCTGTGAGGTAAATAAATCAGTCCATAGTTCAGTTATAAGACGAATGGTTTTCTGTTCCAGATTTGTCAGTACTTTGAACCAAGTGCTCCACATCACAATGAGTGGGAAAGTGTACGAAAATGTCACCAGTTACAGTGCCAGCAAATATCAATTTTTTCCTTCTGGTGTGTAAGTACCTTTGCTGGACACCTTGCTCCCAAAGCCAAGGCTGTATAGTCTTTCTTTTTAAAAAATGTGCTGGGAATTTTAATATCAGGAATGTTAACCCCTTTTATTCTCTCTATTCATAGAAAAGAATTTACAATAAACTCCACAGAGATTTCAACAGAGTGTCCGCATAGTTTTGAATCTTCCAATCTTGAGTTTGGCAGCGCTTACACCTACGTCATCAGAAGGGAGGTTAGTGACTTATTCCCCTAGCAGAAGTCCTGCTTAAACTTTTCTGGCATGAATCCTCACAAGTACTTAGGACATACTCATTATTTAACTAGAGGAATATTAAGATCTATATTGTAAATGAGCTTAGAATTAATTCAACTCACCACTAAAATTTTTAATTACATTTATTTATTTGTGAGAGAGAGAAAGAGAGAGAGAGAGAGAGAGAGAGAGAGAGAGAGAGAGAGAGAGAATGAGAACATGCCACAGCACATATGTGGAGATCAGAGGACAACTTGTAGAAGTTGGTTCTCTCCTTCAACTGTGTAGGTCCCAGGGATCAAACTCAGGTCAGGCTTGACAGCAAATGCCTTCACTTACACTGAGCCATCTTCCTGGCCCACCACTGATTTTTTTAAAGATTTACTTCATTTTTTTAATATTTTATTTATTATTTTTTATTTTATGTGTATGGGTGTATTGCCTGCATGTATGTGAGTGCACCCATGTCATGCCATACCATGGAGGTCAGAAGAGGGCTTCGGATTCCCCTGGAACTGGAGTTAAGGATGGTTCATAGCCGCCACATGGGTGCTGGGAATTGAACCCAGGTCCTCTGCAAGAGCAGTTGGTGCTCTTAACCACTGAGCCATTTCATTTTTTAAAAAATTTCATACCATGTATGTCATTTTTATTCTGGGTTATACATGTCCATCGCTTTTTTATTATTATTTTAGTGTATGATTGTATTGCCTGTGTGTGTGTAAATGCATCCATGTTGGCCAATGCCTGGGAAGTCAGAAGATGTTGGATTCCCCTGGAACTGGAGTTACAGACAGTTGTTAGCTTTCATATGGGTGCTGGGAATTGAACCTGGGTCCTCTACAAGAGCAGTCAATACTCTTAACTGCTGAGCCATCTCTCCAGCCCCACATGTGTGTCTTTGTGGGAATATGTGCACATGAGTGCAGATACCAACAGAGACCAGAAGAGGGTAACTGATCCCCTAGAGCTGGAATTATAGGCAGTTGTGAGCCATACAATGTGGGTGCTGGGAATTGGACCCAGGTCCTCCCGAAGAGCAACAAACGCTCTTAACCACTGCACCATCTCTCCTGTGCCTACCACTGATTCTTTAATTATTGTTGACTTAAGTTGACTATAGAATAAAATCTAACAGGCTTAGTTACCCAGCTAAAATCTCCTGTTGACCAATGGTTAGTATAGGCTATGAACATGGACTTTGGGCAGTGGTAGTGTTTTAACTAAGAGCTTCCAAGTTATATAGTTACATTTAAAACGTGCCCTTTCTCCTAAATTACCTGACATAATCCTACAAGATCAAACTCAATTTGCCTATATGAACAATTGTTTATCTAGAAACTATCTCCACTGCTTTTTCAACTTTCTCCTTTTTACCCTAATGGTTTAGAATAGTGGCTGCCTGGAAGTGAAGGAATTTGAAGACATTCCTCCCAACACGGTGAACATGGCGCTGCAAATCCCACAATATTTCCTCCTCACCTGTGGTGAGGTGGTCTTCTCTGTCACAGGACTGGAGTTCTCATATTCCCAGGTTTCTTGTTCATTTTTTTTTTACCTGCCTTTTGCTACATCCTTCTCTCAGAAAGATGTCTTGGGGGAAAAAAATGGCTTTTTGCTTTTAAGTGTATTAAGCTAACTAGACAAATTTTATTGATACCCAACTAAGAGCTTTATTTCCAAATTGTCAAAACTACAGTTAAAGTCATTGCATTCTACAATTTGTATTGCCTTTTATTTTTTACATTTATTTATTTGTGGAGGGGAGCACCCATGCAGAGGTCAGAGGACAACTTGCAAGAGTCAGTTTTCTCCTTCCACCACGTGAGTCTCAGGGATCCAACTCAAATCGTCAGGTTTGATGGCAAGCACTTTTACCTACCAAACCATTTCATTGACCCCACCTTCAATTTTTTGTCATAAATGTGGTCAGCATGAACTAGATAGTCCCTTTCCATGATGACCACACAGTCTAGCTAAGGCTGTGACTATGATACAGCTGACAAGGGCTTGAGGAGGGATTAGGGGGACAATGGCAGGGAAGCCACAGAAAAGTGAGCTTGCAGCTCAAAGAGCAGTCTCCCTTTAGGAGAGAACATGCCACAGATGGATGTACCTAGAAACTCTTCTAGGTGCAGTCTGTTCACATGTAGGTCTTCCCGTTTTATTAAGACAACACTTGCAAGTGTGTGGAGAGATATAGTCTGCAGCGGGGCAAAGTGCATGACTTGTCATCACACACATGATGCCCTCCTTATATTGATGCACCTCTGATCATTTTTATTATATTATATTATATTATATTATATTATATTATATTATATTATATTATATTATAGTTATATATTATATTATATTATTTAGGGACAGGGTCTTGCTATGTAGCCAAGGTTGTCCTCAAACTTGTGATCTTCCTGTCTCAGCCTTCCAAGTGCTGGGATTACAGGTGTAAGTCTCCATGCCTGACTAAACCTATCTCTAAACTATAGTTTAAGGATGCTTGGTGAAGTGAGTGGGTGGGTTGACTTCTCCTGGCCTGAGGCTAGAATCCAGAGTCTGATTCATTCTGCTTTGCTTCCTCAGGCTCCTTCCAACATGAAGTCGGTGCTCCAGGCAGGATGGCTGTTGACCGTGGCGGTGGGCAACATCATTGTGCTCATTGTGGCAGGAGCAGGCCACTTCAGCCAACAGGTACAAGGGGAAAGGAGGCTGGGTGTGCCTGTCTTTCGTTTCTGTAGTCTTTGAGAAAAGATCTCATGTAGTCCAGGCTAGCCTCAAACTTGCTTGGAACTGAGAATGACCCTGAACTTCTTACCCTCCCAGATATTAATGGTCATCACCATGACTGTCACTAGCTATCTGTAAATGTTTCTTTCTGGCCAATGGCTAGAGAACATTACCAGACTAGTCAGATAGGGCTGCCACCAATAGTCTTGAGGCAGAGTATGTGCTGGTTACTCTATGTTACTCACTTGGAAACTAACAACCAAATCAACCATATTGAGTTAAAAGTACATATGTCCTAAGGTGGTTTACTATCAAAGGAAACATCTTCACTAGTTTCAATGATTTCCACCTAAGAACCTTAACCTAGGGGCTGGAGAGATGGATCGGCAGTTAAGAGCACTGGTTGCTCTTGCAGGGGACCTTGGTTCAAGTCCCAGCACCCACATAGTGGCTAACAACCATCTGTGACTCCAGTTCCAGGGGATCTGACTCCCTCTTCTGACCTCTGTGGGCATTGCGTGACACAGGTGCACCTATCTACATGTAGGCAATACACTCATATACATAAAATAAACAATAATAAAGTATTTTTTTAAAAAGTCTTAACCTGGACATGTGGACTGCGGGTATAGCTTCATGATAGAGTACTTGCCTAGCATGCTCAGGGGCCTAGGTTCTATTCCCAGCACTGGAAGGAGAGAAAAAAAGAAAAGAAAACTAGATACCTTATGTAGAAACTTTCATTATAACTTAAGGACTTTCTTGAAATGGTTATAATTTTTGCAGTTAAAATAAAACAAAGGCTTTTCTGATACTTAAACTTCATCCCCAGCACTGTTGCACACACACAAAGTCTACCTGATGGTTTCCTGCCACTAGAATAGTTTCACTATTTCCTGTGTTGGGAATCACCATAGGGTGTGCTAATGCTAATGCTACATGCTCTGGAGCTCAGATGTCACCAAAAAAATAACACAGGCTCTGATCTTGGTAATGCCCAGCACATTCTTTTACCTGCAAGGGTACTATTTGGTCTTTGCTGGTCTGTGCCCTGCAGATACCAGTCATGAACCTTAAGGACTGTTTCAGAAACCATCTCTCATCTTCCCCAAACCTTGTGTTTCAACATCTCATATGTGCAGTTAGAAAAAATTCTACCTGTTCCTTGGGCACTTAAGAAAAGTTAGTGCATCTCTATATTGATTGCAATTTTCCATAACAGTTTCATTTCACAGCACATTCCACCTAGATGTAGCAAGAAAATGTACATGTGATATATATGTTAATATGACCTGTGGTTGATTTGTGTATTTGTTTTCTTTCTCCAACTCTCATCCCTCCAAAGTGGGCTGAGTACATTCTGTTCGCTGGATTACTTCTGGTTGTCTGTGTGATATTTGCCATCATGGCTCGATTCTACACCTATGTCAACCCAGCAGAGATTGAGGCTCAGTTTGACGAGGATGAGAAGAAAAAGAATGCAGCAAAGAACAGCCTGTATCCCATGTTGGAACCTGCCCCACAGACAAAGATGTAAAGGCCAGAAGGCAAGTAGAAAGTAGACTGAGCCCAGCATATGCTCTGACCTCTGTCCCTGGGGGACAGGACAGCCCATTGGATGGCCCTTAGAGGGGAAGACCGGAACTGTCAACCACACCAACAAAGCTATGTTCTAAGCTGCCAGATATGGATATGAAACTCTGGAGGAAATATTTTTTAATTCTATTTAAAATGTATATAGAGAGAGGGGGGAGTGAGAGAGAGAAAGAGAAAGAGAGAGGCACATACTTTTTAAAACACTGACACCATATTTGCATTCAGCTCTTCTCCTGCCACAGAAGTGAACTTAGTTGGACTAATTTAATTTTGAAAAGATAACAGTACTCTATGTTGTTTTCTTTCTAACACTTTCATTTTATGAAAATGATGTTGAATTTTGAGTTTTTTGATAGTGTAAAGTGTGTATTGGCTAGTAGGAATTGACAACTTTTCCTCTGGGGATTTTGTTTTTCTAGTTTTGTTTGCCCTACCTCTTTTTAAATTATGTATAACTCAAAAGACCACTCAAGTGAAGGCCAGTAATGAGCTTTGAAGTTTCACTTGTATGAAATAAATCATGTTCTTAAGAATAAGTATTTGTGTGTCTTTGGGTTGGACTAGAAATTTCTAGCATGCTATCTGGTTATACTATCAATATATATTCATTAAAATGTCATTGGAAGCTAATAAAAGCACTAAAAAAACAATTCTCACATAGGATAAACCCCAGGGACATGAAACATCAATATTTCTTCTTGGTCCTGTTTTCCCCAGGAAAAACTATATGCCTTTTATTACTAGAATTTTTCTGAGATACATATGTATATCTCAGGGTTTTTTCTTGACTCTGATGAGCATTTTTCTGCTTGAAGTTAAAGTTTCTCCAAAACATTGTAAAACCCCCAGTACCTAATTGACCCTACAGATGTTTGTTTGTTTGTTTGTATGTTCTGAGACAAGAACTCTTATGTCCCAGGCTGGTCTTAAACTCAATGCATAGCCAAGGATAATCTTGGACTTCTGATCCTCCTGCCTCCACTGTCTATGTTCTGAGATTAAAGGCATGTGCTACTGTGCCCAGTTTTATGCAGTTCTAGGGATGTAAAACAGGGCTTCATATATGGTAGATCAAGCTACATCTCCAACATCTTATACATATTTATGATGTAATAATCCCAGATGTCAGACCCAGGATGATCTTACATTGGTATTCTTATTCAAACAGGTGATAGTTTTTAGACAAACTTGTATACAGCTCTAAAGATGGAAACCGGATCCTGGATTAGGAGGAACAGTCTATGTTTGATCTTGAAGATGCTTCCTAAACAAACACTGTTACACATGAAGGCTGTATGCACTCAAAATCTACAGTAGGATCATCATGATACAACATGATCATCATGATACAACATGATCATCAGACCTCACTCAACACAACTGGCCTGGGATCATATCCTAACTCCTTAACTAGGGCCCATAAGGCTTTCTTTTCTCTGGATGTTTTCATGTCTTTATACATACTCTGATCCAGTCAACACAGGACTTCTCTCTCTGAAGCCCATCAAGTTCACATTCTCAGATCAAAACGGAAAAAATTAGGTCTTGAAACCCATTCTTCGCCCATCGCCCCCTTACTTCATTTTCAGACCATTTCCTGCACGAGCTCTCCTGTTGCCCCTCCCTGCCACATTAGGTTATACTGCCTCTCTGAGCTCCCATAACACCAGAACATTCTCAGACCTGGGTTCCCTAGCTTTCTTTAGTCAGCTCTGTGAGTACTTGTTCACCAGTCTCCACAAGGTGCTGATCTTTGCTTGTTAAGTAGAAGTTTTAAACATCTCAGGCCATGAAGAATGAGATGAAAGAGGCAAAGAATCAGGCAAATTATTAGAATTTAAGCCAAGTATGTTTTCATTGAGACAGATGATTCTAGTGTAAAAGCCTAGGCACAGGGGGCCATTAATTCTGCACTCTGCCTTTCCTAACAATCCTTTCCTCGCTCCCTTCCTCCCTCCCTTCTTTCCTTCCTTCCTTTTCTCCTACCTTTCTCTAAATTTCATGCTGTCCAAAGTAGTACATTGTCTGTTTAAGTACGATTCCATATAGGGTTGGGAAAGAAAACCCTAGAACAAACTTCATATCTTATACCTAAAATCCAAAATATTTTCTGAAGATTTCCAAAGATTTTACAGCATCCTAGGCATCTTTTTCTGTCAGCCTGGTCTTGTTCTGGTTCCATATGATCCATGAGTTTTCTTTCTTTTTTGGGGGGGGAGTTTGTTTTGGGGGTGGTTTTGTTGTGCCTGCTGTTTCGGTTTTGTTTCATTGGTTTTGTGGATGTCATTTATTTCAGGGCACTAAAATGTTTAAATCACTTTTAGGCTTTTAAAAATACTTTAGTATGGGGCTGAAGAGATGGCTCAGCGGTTAAGGGCACTGACTGCTCTTGCAGAGGACCTGGGCTCGATTCCCAGCACCCACATGGTGGCTATGAGCCGTCCTTACTCCAGTTCCAGGGGAATCCGAAGCCCTCTTCTGACCTCGCGGCATTGCACAACACGGGTGCACGCATATACATGCAGGCAATACACTCATACACATAAAATAAAAATAATAAATAAAATATATTTTTTAAATACTTTAGAGCCAGGCATGGTGGCGCATGCCTTTAATCCCAGCACTCGGGAGGCAGAGGCAGGCGGATCTCTGTGAGTGCAAGGCC